TTTGGCAATTTCTTGACTGAAGTCCAAGGAAGATCCAAATAATGCAAGTGCTTTAAATTGCTAATGCCATTTGTCAAGTTCTTCAAATTTTCATATCCCTGCAAAGATAATTCTTGCATGTACTTGAGATGAGTAAATCTGCACATTATATCATCACCAATACCAAGATAGGAAATCTTTGTATCCAAGTGGAGGAAACTACGCAATTGGTGGCATTTGAAAACTTTGTCAAAAATCTCAAGATTTTCACTTTTGTTGCTCGTACATGAAAAGTAACGAGTCTTGGTTGACATATCTTGTACTTGATCGACCTCTAATTGCACAGAAAGCTTTCCTGTCATGGATTTTGCTAAATCGTTCACAAGATCATGCATAATGAAGTAATCGTAACCTTTTTTTGATGGCTCAAAAAAAGACCTAGACTCTAGATCATTGAAAATTTCATTACCCACATCTTCAAGGCTCATACTTCTCCAACTTGTATATATTAAACCATCTGCCATCCACAGTTGGATTAACCCATTCTTATCTATATCATAATCTTTAGGAAAGATGGAGCAATATGCAAAACAACGCTTTAGGTTTGAAGGTAGATAATGGTAGCTCAATCTTAAAGATGGGATAATACTGCTATCATTTTCTGATAATTCCCAAATATCACCTTTCAAGATCTTATCCCAATACTGTAAAGAGAGTTTTCTGTGTAACAAACTTCCTAGTGTTTTTATTGCTAAAGGCAATCCTCCACACTTCTTAACGATTTCTCTACCGATTTGTACAAGTTTTGAATTTGCATCATGTTGATGGTTGTTAAATGCATGGTTTGCAAATAAATTCCAACAGTCTCCATCTTGTAATGGCTTCAAAGAATGCGTGAAGGTACAACACATGACTTTTGCTACAGTTTTATTTCGGGTTGTGATAAGAATCTTACTTCGTGGTGCTACGTGTTTCAAAGGAGCTTGGAAGACCTCCCAAATTTGACAATTTTCATTCCAGACGTCATCAAGAACGAGAAAGACTTTCTTGCCCATCAATGTCTCTTTTAGTTTAGACTGATTTGAGTGAAAATCTTGTTCAGTTGGACAATTAAGTGATTGAAGAATAGCTTCTGTAACTTGATCAACATCAAATTCTTCAGAAACACACACCCAAACTGTGTGTTGAAATTGATCCTTCATCCTTACTCGTACACAAGTCGTGCAAGAGTTGTCTTAACCCATCCCACCCATACTAGTGATAGCAATCACATCTATAGGCAACTGATTCCCACCCATGTCTTGTGATAGTAAAATCTCCACAATCCTCTCTCTATCAGCATATCTACCATATGTAATGGATTCGTCTATCCAATGGGTTGTAGGCAATTTTTTTGCATATTTTCCTATTCCCTCCCATTTGATCACCAACAAATGGTCCTCCCCTTAATCCCAATATCTCATTTTGTTTCAAAAGATTGTCTAGGTTGTTAAGCACTTCTTTGATCCCTAACTCCATCTTTTTCCCAAACCAATTTCGACTAGCAAGAGCATAAAAGAAGCCTCGTACCTTGCCAAAAATAGCAGTTTGCAATTCAGCATCCAGCTTTCTTCGTGATGCCTCAGTAGAAATGTCGTCTAGCAAGTCTTGAGCCTTAAAGACTTCATTTTTGAGCTCGTCAAGCCACTACTTCACCCGATGGTCTCTGTATTGCCTTTCCTCTGCATCTTCAACAATTTCGTCCACAGAAATAAGGATGACATGCAATTTTATCAGTAAGCCATCATCGAGCTTTCTGCCACGAAAGTACTCGAGAAAGTCACGAGAAACCAATCTCTCAAATGCCACCAGAAGGAAGGAAGAGAGAAACGCTCCAGCTACCAACTCCGCCATGTTGAAGCTAACAGAAAGTATTTAGTCGCAAGGAAGGAAGAAAACTGGACAGAGAGGGAACAAGAAACTGAGAGCCGTTAATGCTTCACTAGTGAAAGTCTTTCTTTTGTTGTTGGGAACTTTGGATGCTTGCTCTGAAATTATAAAATATACAAGTCATGGCTTGTCTAGTGATGCACATGAATTTGCTTGTCCAGAGGCACTTTTCAAAATTCAAACTAAGCAGCCCAATGCTAATTACAGCTAATATTGGGATTATTAATTATTAATAACGGCGAGGCCCTTTGCGAGGATCGGTCGATGCATCGTTTAGCAAACCATTTTATTTCTAATTAATATTTAGAATATGACCCCACAATATAAAAGGGGTTTGGATTTGAAGAATATGAATATTATATTACACGCATGCTCTTCCCCACCATCGTGCTTCCAAAATTTAATACTCCTCCAGTTCTTAATGCAATACTTATTCAACTAATTTGATTAAATTAAAAAAGTTAAATAAGTTAGTTAATTATAAGAAATATGACATGTTTTTCATAAAACACCATAATCATCTTTTTTAACATCCCCCCTTCTCTCTTCTACTTGATTATGGTTGAAAAAGTATTCATAAGGGTAATTTAGAAAAAATTGATAAAAATAAGAAATAAATCTTATATTTAGGACTAAAATCAACTCAACAGTTAGGTCTTATATTAAAGACTAGAGGAGTAATCAATACCTCTAATGTTTTAGACGCAAGTGACTTGGGGGGAGCAGTGTCTTGAATATAAGTCACTTGTAATATATTTAATACATGTTTTTTAATTTTATCCTTATCCAATTGTTATTGGAAAGAGAAAAAGAAGAGAAATGCTCCTTTATTTCTATTTATAAGACAGAAAGAGAATATTTTTATTAGTCCTAATTATAAGTTACTTTTCTAGTCCTATTTATAAATCATTTCCAATATGTTTTATACAAACAAAAAAAACCTTAAATTTCATTAATTCTCATTTAAAATTTAACAATACACTGTACCTTATAAAAACAAAGTCAACACATAATAAATAAAGAATAAAATTGTACATCCATATGAAAAATTTCTCTCAATGCCTTATAAATAAACCAAAAATGTCTTCTCTCTATACCCTATAAATAAGAGTAGAGGAGTACTTCATTAAACTTTTAGTATAAATGTATTATTTTGTCGTTTATTTATTATAATGTAGATTGTTATTTTGTTTTGAAAGATATATATATTTAATAGAGGTACAGTTGGAATATTGTTATATTTTAATGAAGAGTTAATGTAATTTAAAGTATTTTTTAATCTATATGAAGCATGTTGAAAGTGTCTTTATAAATAGGACCAAAAAATATGAGAATGATTTGTAAATATGGAAAGAAGAAAAATTTTAAATTAAAGAGGGTAAAATAGAAAAAACAATTTTTGTCAATTTAGTGCATCCCTTGATATGCGAGAATGTATTACAGGTGACTAATATTAACAACCATAATGCTACTTTCCTTCCCTCCTTTCTCATATAAGACAAATTGAAGTATATAATTAATAATTAAAGTACCCTATTTATGATTAAGATGATTTACAAAATCCATGAAATAATTAATTTATGTTTTTAAAGACGATTATTAATTAATTAAGAACATTTTTTGTCGAAAAAATTAATAATTTTAGGGACACAAGTTAGTTTTCTTGGTTTGTGCGTAAAGTAGATAGAAGTGTTGGATAATAGAGACAAATGGAGTAGAAACTTATCCAGGCTTTTTTGTAATCATGGATTTTTTAAAACTGAATGATACCTGTTGGGGATGCAATATTACTATAACAGCTAATATTGTTTTAAGGGAAAATTTAAAAAAAAAAACATGATACTTGAATTTCAAAATCCTCAAAAAGTCACATGAAGACTGCGAACTCCCCCTCCCCCAACACGACGATGAGGACGATGACCAATGCCTCCGGAGACACCCAATCACTTTGGAATTTGGCACCTCCGTATCCGTCCCCGTAACAATAGGCTCTTTCACATGCACTTGAGATCAGAAAGTCGGGAGTCGGGACATTATATTTATATATCACCATCTATGCAACCACTGTTGCTGATATGGCATTCGATTGCAGGAAACTACGTAATTGGTGGCATAAAAATTACTACCTCCAATTCTTAATATAAAATTTAGTTAACTAATTTGGAGATATTAAAAAAATTAGTTAAATTAGTTACCTAAAGTAAATAAATATTGTCTTCCTTATAATATCTTTATTAATCATGTATGTTTGAATTAGTCATTGATTGTAACTCTTTAAGATATGCAATTACTATAAAAATTACTTGAAAGTAAAATAAATAAATATGAGAGGCAAAGTAGATTGGAGTCTTATATTTAGGACTAAATTGAATATCAAACTAACTCTTATATTAAGGATCAGAAGTACTACATGACACATAATTATCATTCACACACAGACACACACATATAAAGGAGAATCAGTTTTCGTTGTTTTGTTTTATATGTCTGCTTAATCCAAATTTTAAGTATAATATTTTCACATATCTTATATGCACTACCACTTATAAGTTGAGCTTAATTATAATAAACCATCATGTTAAATTTTCAATTTGGACTAACTGGTGGAAGTTTAAAGTCATATTCAAACATAATATTACATTATGTCCTTAATATAAAACCGAGTTGACTAAATAAGAAAGGTGAAAGAAATTATAAATTACTTTAAAATATTTATATTTATAATTTTTCTCAATTAATTTGTCTCACTTATAAATTGATATATAATTTAATAATACGCAAAAGTATTTTGGATAGATAGATCATGTACTATAATCAAGTAATTTAATAACTTCTTTAATATCTTCAAATTAGCTGGTCAACTAAGTCTCGTTCACAATGAGATATGAATATTGTTATTGATATTTACCATTTCAGATACAGAACACAAAAGTAGTACAAATATGGATCAAACAACAGAGAATTAATTATTTAAAACAAATTAAAGTGATATGGTGCTGAAGAAGAAAGAGGAGGTTTATCACAACAAACACACCAACCACCATAACATAATACTTGTTGACTAAATCAGGACACATTCTGAAAGCACACGATGCGTTTTAGTCTCCATCGTTACGTTCCCACATTTTTACGCATCTTCTTCAACTTGTCCTCTTTTTTCTGGGACGAATCCTATATATGCACATAAACATACAATAAAAAGTGTGTTAAAATATGAATAGTTTTCAATTTCTGGCCATAATTTTGTTTCGACTAATTTGATGACAATACGAGTTTAAATCAATACTAGACGAATGGTGATCATGAATAATACTATAAAAGTCAAACAACGTATATGGACTCAAATAAACCATATGGATGGATGGATGGATCCTGAGAATATAAAAATTAGAAAAAAATTGGCAAGAAGTCCCACATTGAAAAATTTATTGGTGATAAGATGGATTTAATAAATTTTTATACACAAGAAGTACTAGTACTTGTAGATTTTGTCCACACAAAGTATCCTGATAGCTAGGTTATTCACTCCAATAAAATTTTCTGTGAGGGACTGTATTATTCTTGAGCTACGTGTAAAGCGACTCCATTTTTAAGACCCCATGCAAATGCTTTAAGCAAGTATTTGGGGGCATGTTCCAATTCTTAATTAATTGACCTTTAGCAATAGAGGTGGAAAGAATTCTATATGTTTCGGTCTCTTCTAAAGCAAGGACATGCAAGACAGAATAATGTAGCATGATCGAACATTGATATATAGGGAGCATATGATCTGGTGAATGTGATTTCATATGGACAGCAACATATAAAAGCAAAATCTAATGGCATGTAAATAGAGAGTAAGATAATATTCAGGAGTTGTGAATTTTCATAACTGATATATAACTCTAAACCATTACAGATGTAATATATGCAACTCATCAGCATCTTTTATGAACAAGTGGAAGCAAAGTATAGAGGAAGTACCTTTTAGAAAGTGATGTGTCTACATGAGAACATGAGGGATGTGAGCAATTTTAGGCCAATCGGGTCCTTGCTCCATTTCACACCTCTCCTCAAGCAACGGACAATTGAAACCAATGCTTAAGTGAGAAAGGGACGGAGGTAAACCATGTTCTGGCATACCTTCAAAAGTCGTATGAGGGCAATCTTGAAATGATAAGAAAGTGAGAGATTGGAGGTGCAGAAGGCCCCTATGGTTTATTCTTTCCAAATTGTAACAACCTTTTAATGTAAGAGATTGGAGATTGGGTGGCAACAATCCCTCCTCAGGGAACGACTTCATATCAAAGGTACCACCAATGTCAAGTTCTTTAAAAGATAAGAACTCATGTAAACCCAAATCCCTAAGAGACGCAATGAGTTTGGAACAGTCATGGATTGTAAGACGTTGTAGGCTGGAAAGCATACCTTCTTGAAAGGGAAGCCATTGATCTATTGCTCGACAATCATTTAAATATAGGACATGAAGAGGTGGAAGCATGTCTTGGGAGCTCCACGTGGGCATGTCTTTTACTAACATCTTCTTGCAATTACTTAAACATAGCTTCTCCATGCAAGAGGACTTGGGAAGTGGAGCCTCCAAATTCTCACATCTCGAAATATCTAGTGTTTTTAAACAAGGAAGGTGTTGGGGCAGAGACTTTGTCAGTCTATGACAATATTTTATATGAAGTTCTTCAAGGAGTGGGAAAGCACCTTCTTGACATATATCCCATTCTTCCCATTTTCTCATATTAGAAAAATGTAAACACGAAAGGGAAGGAAATGGAGCAATTAATGAGCCATTCCCATAGAACTCTTCACCTATCATATTTATTCTAACAAAATTTTCAATCACGAGTTTCTGGAGAGAAGGTAGTTGCCCAAGCGGTGGTAATAAGCTCACATTATCACAATCATACAAACATAAAGATACTAAATTGGGTAAAAAATGTGAATCACCAAACCACTTTGGAAACTTGGTGCCTCCGTATCCTTCAACAATGAGTTCTTTTACACCATCACTTGGCTCAAGTGCTTCCAATACGTGCTCCTGGTGTTGTGCCTCTTCACGACTGCATATATATCTCCAATATAGTAACTTCAGTGTATCCAATTTCTTTTCTTTCAAATTGGCGCCTCTCGAATTTGCAGGATCATTCATGAACTGCATATTTGAGATGCTTAAGGAACCTGTTAAGTGGTTTAAGTTACTTAATTCTTTTAACTCTGATCCTCCTTTCTTTGCCACAACAAATTTATTCATTGTTCGGAGCTGATTTAGCTTTCCCATATATCTTGGTATCTTCTGTATGCCACAGTCTTTCAAGTCAAGATGATGCAAATTGATGAGTTTGTATAAATTTGATGGCAACTTAGTCAAGAATTCACAACCTTTTAATTTCAATGTTTGTAAATTAATCAACAAGCACATTGAATCTGGCAATTTCTTAACAGTAGTCCAAGAAAGATCCAAATAATGCAAGTGCTTTAAATTGCCAATGCCATCTGTCAAGTTTCTTAAATTTTGAGATCCCTTCAAAGATAATTCTCGTAGGTAGTTGAGATGAGAAAGTCTAGACATTATATTATCACCAATGACATAGTTGCAGGAGAAATGTCTATCCAAAAATAGGATGAAACTACATAGTTGCTGGCATTTCAAAACTTTCTCAAAAGTCTCAAGATTATTTTGATTAATGTTGCCCATATAAGAAAAGTAGCGAGTCTTGGTTGACATATCTTGTGCCTGATCCACCTCTAGCTGCACAGAAAACTCTCCAGCCATAGATTTTGCTAAATCGTTCACAAGATCATGCATGATGAAGTAATTGTCACCTTTTCTTGATGGCTCAAAAAATGATCTAGACACTAGATAATTGAAAATTTCATCACCTGCCTCTTCAAGGCTCATACTTTTCTGAGTAGGAAATATTAAACCATCTGCCATCCACAACTGGATTAGGTTATTCTTATCTATATGATAATCCTTGGGAAAGATGGAGCAATATACAAAACAACGTTTCAAATTTGAAGGTAAATAATGGTAGCTCAATCTTAAAGATGAGATAATATTGCTATCATTTTCTGATAATTCCCAAATCTCACTTTTCAAAATCTTATTCCAATGCTGAAAAGAGAGTTTTCTGTGCAACAATCTTCCCAGTGTTTTTATTGCTAAAGGCGATCCTCCACCCTTGTTGATTATTTCTCTGCCAATTTGTATAAGATCTGGATCTACAGCATGATGTTGGTTGTTAAATGCATGTTTTGCAAATAAATCCCAACCATCTCCATCTTGTAATGGCTTCAAAGGATATCTGAAGGTACAACACATGGCTTCTGCTACGGTTCCATTACGGGTTGTGATAAGAATCTTACTTTGTGGCGCCACATTTTTCAAAGGAGCTGTGAAGACCTCCAAAATCTCACAATTCTCATTCCAAACATCATCAAGAACAAGAAAGAATTTCTTGCCCATCAACGTCTTTCCTAGTGTTGCCTGATTTGAGTGAAAATCTTGTTCAATTGGACAACTAAGTGAATGAAGAATTGCTTTTGTAACTTGATCAACATCAAATGCTTCAGAAACACACATCCAAGCTCTATGTTGAAATTGATCCTTGATCCTTACATCTTCGTACACAAGTCGTGCAAGAGTTGTCTTACCCATCCCACCCATACCAGTGACAGCAATTACATCCATAGGCAACTGATTCCTACATCCCATGTTCTGTGATAGTAAAATCTCTACAATCCTCTCTTTATCAGCATCTCTACCATAAATATTGGATTCAGCTATCAAATGTGTCGAAGGCAATCTTTTGTATACTCCCCTGTTCATCACTGCCAGTTGATCATGAGCAGATGGCCCTTCCTTTAACCCCAGTCTCTTCTTTTGCTTTATAAGATTCTCTAGGTTGTTAAGCAATTCTTTTATCCCTGAATCTATCTTTTTGTCAAAATGATTTCGACTAGCAAAAGTAGTAAACAAGCCTCGTACCTTGCAGATAACAGCAGTACTTTGCAATTCAGCATACAGCTTCTGTTGTGATGCCTCAGTAGCAATGTCGTCCAGCAAGTCTTGAGCCTTAAAGACTTCATCTTTGAGCTCGTCAAGCCACTTCTTCACATGATGGTCTCTGTATTGCCTTTCTCTGCATCTTCAACAATTTTGTCCACAGAATTAAGGGTGATTTCCAATTCTTTTCGCAAGTTATCATTGAGCTTTCTACCACGAAAATATTCAACAAAGTCATGAGAAGCCAATCTCTCAAATGCCACTTGAAGGAAAGAAGAGAGAAACGTTCCAGCCACCAACTCTGCCATGTTAAAACTAACAGAAAATATTCAGTGGCAAAGATGAAAGAAAACTAAAGAAAGTTGGAACAAGAAACTCAGATTTGTCAATGCTTCACTAGTGGTGAGACATAGGTAGAAGAAAATCTTCCTTCAGTTGTTTGGGTGCTTACAGGAAATTACTGCGCCATTGAAATCTGACATAATGATTGACTGATTTGCTTTTCCTTTTTGCTATCGGTGGGCCAATACTTTCCAGCAAGCAAAAGGAGCGACAAGAGCCAATGGCTCTTTCTTTTTTATTTCCGTTTTTTGTTATTCATAAATACCTTATTTTATTGTACAATTTATTATTTTGTACGTATTAAAAATATATACAACATAATCATCGAAATATAGAATACAAGCAACAAAAAGTTAAGTAGTATAATGGAAGAGTATATATGATGAACTAAGATTCAAATTCCTGTTGAGAAGATTACCTGCATTTAATGCCTAGTAATATTTTGAACAAGATTACCAATTTATGTAGAAGAGAAACGCTCACCAATTCCGCTATGTTAAAGATAATAGAAATTAGAAGAATCATGCTTAATAGCTAATATTCCTTCAGTCCTATATTTAAGACTTATTTTGTAATATAAATTATATTACAAAATGGGTTTAGGACCGGAGGGAGTATTTAATTAAGATTATCATAACAGGCAGGGCCCTTTGCTTTGAGTAATTAATTAGGAAAAGGGGATGGCAAGTCATGCTTCACAGCTAATATTAGGATTATTATAACAAGTGGGCTCTTTACTGTAGTAATTAATTAGTAATTAGGAATAGGAAATGCAAATCATGCTTATTATAAGAGGTGACTGATGCATCGTTTGGCCTAACTATTTTATTTGATGCCGGCGCGCGTCGCTATTAAGAATACGAACCCACAATACAGAAATTCAAATGTACATAAGTAAGGGCACTTTTTGTGAAAAATAATGAATCGTTTCAAAAACATGAATTAATTTTCTTAGTTTGTTTAAAGGAGAAAAAATTGTCTGATAAATAGAAACCAATAGAGCAGAGATAATCACCCAGACGTTTTGTAATCAGAAATATTGTAAAATTGAATCGGACTATAATTTGGCGTTTGGCCTATTTTTAAAAAAATATTAAAAGTTTATCAATTAACAAAAAAATTGTAATTAACATAAGTTAAAATACGTTCTTTATAAAACTAACTAGATTTTACGCTTCGTGCGATTTTCAAAGACATTAATTCTTTATTAAACTCAAGAGGGAATGAAAGGGAGGAGAAGAGAGAAACATTTTTACAAGTTTGATTAAAAAAATCGACAAGTGAAGTTATAAAACCTTAATTGAAAAAAAATGTAAGATGAAACAACAATATAAATTAATTAAAAACTTTTGACCTCATTTTTCAATTTTTGTTCAATCATAATCTTTAAAATCACCCGCTCTGGCCCCTCAAAATAAAACAGATGATAAAGATTAACCAAAGGTAAATACTGAATAAATATTAATTTAATACTAAAGTAGACGTATGTTTTATTCTCTAAGTTCGTTTCAGTCTTTCTTCCTTAAGTTTATAAAATATCTTTTTAGTCCTTTAATTTTAATGCCGTTATTTTTATATAACGGAAAATGTTGGACTCTATAATAAAATGTTTACAAAGTATACTTAAATTTTAAATATAAAAAATGATCATATTAAAAATTAAAATGCAACACATGTTTTGTCAGCATTTAATTGCAAAGTCATGATACATATTTGTTAAGTCATCATTTTTCGTTAAATGAGACCAATAATATTGAGAACTTAAGATTATTAGATTAAACCTAAATTTAAGAAACTAGATCTAAATTTAATGCAAACTTAACTTTTTGTCTTGGATGGAATGAAAATTAGGGAGAAAACAAAAGTACTATGAAGGAAAACTTATCAAAATGCAAACTGAGATTGAGAAGTTTTCCTTACTAGTATTCCCTTTCCCATATTTTCCTTTTTCTTCCAGTCGCCATATTTTCCTCTTACTTTAAACCTTAATTTAATAATTTTACATAAAGTAACAGTGGGTAAAAACTATGAAATAGAATTGTAAAAATACTTGTAGATGAATAATCATACCAATAAAGGTATGAATAATTATACTTTTTAATCCTTGCGCACAGTATTATTTTTAGTGATTATAATATAGAAATAATAACAACTTTTTATTTTAGAATTTTTTGCCAGTTAAATTTGAAATAGATAACAATTTATTATAGTCTATAAATAAAAATTACTATGCCCACGCATGTTAAAAATTTAAAAAAAAATATTTTTTGTTTTAGAATTTGTTTCTTCTAGTTGTCTAAACAATGCGAAACTTATCAGAAATCTCCAAGAGTGGTTAATGCTTCGCTAATGGGCGCGTAACTGCGTAATTGAAATCCAACCTATAATGAGTGACTGATTTGCGTTTCCTTACTCTTTTCGGACACTTTCCAAAAAGCAGAAGAAGCGACAAGAGACACCGGCTAGCTGCCTATCTCTTTTTAAATTCTGTTTTATTTTTTTTTCAATATTTTATTCCAAAAATTATACTCAGGCACCGTTTGTATTATATTATCATAGTAATTTTGATAGTAATTTTTTTAATAATTTATTGCTCTTGTATATACTATAAATATAAAAATAACTTGTTTTATTATACAATTTATTATTTTGTGCATATTAATATTGGAAACAACACAATCATCGGAATATAAAAATACAAGCAACAAATGCTTAACAGCTAATATTAATTAAGATTATCATAATAAAAGGCAGGGCCCTTTGCTTTAAACAATTAATTAGAAAAAGGGGAAAGTAAATCTTGCTTAACAGCTAAATATTAGGATTATCATAACAGGTGGGACTCTTTACTTTGGTAATTAGTAATTAGGGAATGGAAATCATGCTTATTACCTTGGTGCCAGGGGTGAGTGGTGAATCTTTTGGTCAAACTATTTTGTTTGATTAAGAATATGAGCCCCACCCACAATATAAAAATTAAATTAAAATCCACAAGAGTTGGGAGCCCCTGTTTATAAGATAATTTATGTAGTAATTAATATTTTTTTAAGAAAAATGACACTTTTAATTAATTATGAGAAAGAATAATACATAAGTAAGGCAATTTTTGTAGAAAAATAATGAATCGTTTTAAAACATGAATTATTTTTCTTAGTTTGTTTAAAGTAGATAATATTGTCTAATAAATATCGACCAGTAGATTAGACACTTACCTAGGGATTTTAAAATGGGAAAATTTCACAAAAGAACCTAGAAATTTATAAATTTTTACAAAAATGTGTTGTTATTTATAAGTATAGTCAAAATATGTTAAAGTGTAGAAAACAACTCTGATTTAGAATTTCGTAATTTTTAAATTCTTTTTGTAGGATTTTTTTTCTTTTATAAGCACAAATTTTGTAGAATTGAATCTTGCATGAGCTGCACATATGAGAAGGGTTGAGCAACAATACAAGCAAATATCGATGCCCATCGGATTTTGGCCCAACCTAAAACATTATGAAAACATATATTTTAAAAATATAAAAATGAATTTGATTCATCAACATAAAATTGATAAATAACATAATGTAAAATACATCCTTCCTAAAACTAACTAGATTTTACACTTCACGCCATGCCTAAATGGACAAAAATTTTAATAAGTTTCATTTAGAAAATAGGCAAGTGAGATTATAAAATTTTAATAAAAAAGAAATGTAAGATGAAAGAAAATCAATTAAAAACTTTCAACTTTATTTCTCAATTTTTTTTTTCAACCTTACTTCCCTTTCATTCCCCCTACCCTATATTTAGTATTCCCTCTAGTTTAAAATATAAGATCAACTTTATCTATTTATATTTATTAAGAAATTAGTTAAAATCAGGTTAAAATAGTAAATATATAAAACATGTATTTTTTTTCAAATATGCCCCTATCAAAAAAGAGAATAAGTAAAAGATGCAATTAATGAATTAAAAAGAAAAAACATATGTTAGAGGTAAAATTTAAAAAAAAAAACGCAGTAAATAAAAAAAATCAAACTCCTCCAAACAAAGTTTATCTTATATTTTGAATTGGAGGGAGTATAAGAAAAATAGAGAGGGGGATTGTAATGAGTTAGATTTGAAAAATTGGAGAAGTGAGATTATAAAATTTTAATAAAAAGAAAATGTAAGAAAAAACTAAGAAAAATTTATTAAAAACTTTTCACCTAGCACTTCTAATTTTTTAAATTAAACTCATTAAAATTTTTTCTCCCCTCTCCTCTATATATTATACCAAACAGACTGTTAAACTCAAGAGATGATAAAAATTAATAAAAGGTAAATATTGAGTAAATACTAATTTAAGACTAAAATACATCCTCTGGGCTTATATTAAGTTTTAGTTTAGCCTTTTAAATTTATAAAGTATATTTTCAGTCCCTTAATTTTAATAATGTTAATCTCATTTAATAGAAACTGTTAACCGAACACATTTAAATGTTAACTCTGTAATTAAATATTGATAAACTATGTTTAAATTTTAAAATATAAAAATAATTATATTAAAAAATCAAACAGTAGGGCATGTTTTGCCAGCATAGTTAATTGTAAAGCTACCACATAAATCTGTTGATTTGGTTTTTTTTTTTATTAAATGAGACTAACAATGTTAAGATTATGAAACTAGCAATATACTTTATAAATTTAAGAAAATAAATTAAAATTTAATATAGATTTACTTTAACCTTAATTTAATAATTTTACCCAAAGTAATATTATGTGAAAAGTATGAAATAGAATAGTATAAATAATTAAACGAATAAATATGTCAAT